CTTTTGATGGTATCCCACATGAACCTTAGGCTTTCTTCATTTTGTTTTGATCTTTTTTCTGATTGATCCCTTTCCAAAGAAGTATTGAAGTATTTGCCTTCAGTGTCATTAATTCTGCCTTCCACCGATTCAGTGCTACTGCTTTGACTGTTCAATGTGTTATCTATTTCTAGAAATTTAGTATCAGTCTTCTGAATTTCTGTCTGTAGATTTTGTATCATCTCTAATTTTTAATTTATTTTGCCATTTTGTCCTTGTATTGTCTTTCAAAATTTTTCTAGAGTTTCCTCTGTGTTTTCTGCAATTTTGTCAGTGTTTTCCTTGATCTGTCTCTAAATCCATTGAAAGCACCTAAATATAATTCTTTTTAATTCCTCATCAGGGAGTTCCAGTGCTACATCTTCCACAGGGATGTGTTTTGGGTCTGTATCCTGGTCTCTTGTTTTTCCTGCTTTATCTTGCTTCTTTGTGTGGACTATTATGCTCTGTTGTCTCTGAGGCATTGTGATGTTTTTGTGTTTATATTTGATTTGTGATTGTATGTTGGAGTGACTTGCCCATGACTTTCTTTTTCTTTGTTTTGTTTGGATGTTATCTGTGAAAGCAGGATACTGTTCTGTTTGCCAGTTGGCAGCACTTATACACTCATCAGCTATCTCCTTTCTTATTGTCAGCCTCCCATTTGTCCCTGCTGTCCTTGGCAAACGGAACCTGTTCTTAGGTCCCTGGATTCCGAATGAGAATGCTGTCACTTGAAAATCCAAAACGGCCACCGCTTGTAAACATTCAAAATGGCTGCATGCTTTAAATATCCAAAATGGCTGCTGCTTGAAAACATTCAAAATGGCTGCGCCCTCCAGCACTTTAAATATCCACAGTGGCCACCAATTGCAAACTTTCAAAATGGCTATGCCCTCTGGACAGCTGGAAGTCCACAGCTCAGGTTGCCTCCCTCCTTGCTGTTTCCCTTCCCGGTCATGGGCCACCAGTGCATTTGTCCTTGCAGCCCTTCATGACCAGGGCTGATCTTTAGGTCAATTCTCAGGTCCCAACACCACTTGGAAATATTCAGGTCCTATCAGAGTTGCTGACAGTGCATTGCTCTGACTATCTCCATACTCACTGTTTTCGTTCAGGTTTTTCCACTAGTTTGTGCCTAATCCACTTCTGTATACTTCCTTTCAAAGCTCAGGGCTCTGGGATTATCTTCTGTATCTCTGTCAATTGGTTTCTCTTTTCTTAGTTGAAGAAGGTCTGTGCAGCTTGTGTGCCTATTATGACATCTTAATGGAAGTCTCATTAGTTGGAATTTTATTGTAAAGAAGCCCTTTCCCTTCTTTTCTACTTACTTATTTCCTCATTTATCTCATGTCTATCTATCTGTATTGAAAACTGAGTTTACCCCAATACTTTTCAGTGCCAACTCCATCGTACAAGGTTCATTCTCACCTCTGCCTTTCCCCAATTGTTACTTCTTTCTCTGACAGTAAGAAATTTAGCTCCCATTCTCCTCAATGTTTTTAACTTAATTTTCTCAATTTCCCTGTATGTAACCAGTCACCTCTCGATGCTCACCATCTGCCTGGCCCTGACCACTCTGGCCACCTTCTCATTTAGCCCTGACCGTACCAGCCACCTTCTTGCTGGACAGCTCCTCTGTTTCCTGCCTTTTAAAATGTTTTCTTGTGCTTTCCTTAGAACCTGACTTCTCCTATCTGGAAGCACTGGCTCCCTACCAGCCCTTGGCCATGAAATGCATATACTGCCCCATTGATACACGATTGAATTTCATCCAAGTATCAAAGTTGCTTAAAGAAGTACAGGTAAGGAAGTAAACCATGCTCATGTCTTCCCTTGCATGTTATGTCTGTGTAGCTGCTAATCTGTGACAAAAAGTGGGAAGGCTATCTAGCTGCATTTGAGTCTTTGTTTTTCTAACTTCTTGAATATCCACAGAATGCCAAGACATATATTTGTACCTTGAAAACTTGAAAGTGGTGACCATTACATCCTGAAAGAATCTTCTACTCTGCAGACCTCAAAACTGGAAGGAAAAGAAAGCATAAACAGTCTGTTATTTTTGACGCCCATCTGTGTCCATTCAAAGCAAATTGTACCCCATCTCAAAAAAAAAAAAAGTCCTTCTGAAAACATGTTTACTAAGCTGAAAGATAGTTTGCTTGAAACATGTATCAGGCCCTTGTTGCACATGTTGCTAACAGTATTCTTTTGAATTTTATTAGACACTTTTTGTTGTTTTGTTGTTTTTTTTCATTTTGTATTTTCTGTCACAGAGCATAGAAGAAGTAGTTGAAGTAAAGTGGTAGGCAGAAGGAAGGATTTATGCACAAAAGGGAAAGTAGAGGCAAGATAAGGAATGAAAATCACCACACAGGTCAATTACAACTTATGCAATAAGCTTTTTGGCAAATGGGAAGGAAAAGACTGACCAGAATCGACAAAGAAGACAACTTAGAAAAGGGGAGATGGCTTTTTTAGGGAGGAAAATTTCAGGAGCTCGCATGAGTGCTAAAGTTCCCGGGCACTGCCTATTGTCTCTCCACCTAGCAGTCAAGCTGGATATGATCATCTCCCTACATTTCTTGACCTAGTTCAAAAGTCATCTTTCCTCCTCTTTACAGGATCTCTGACCTCAGGATGAGAGGGTCTAACACAAAATTCTAAGAAGTGTAACAAGAAAAAGAGAAATCTGAAGAGCCTCAGGAGTGCAGGGATTATGGAATATAGCAATCACTAGCTTTCTGGCTCAATGAGAAGAGAATATGGGCTTTGCCGAGTTATGATGAGAGCAGTTAGCTAATTGTTGGCCTCAATGAGGTGATCTGATACCCTCTGTCTCCCCAGCAGTGGAAGAAACAGATAAGACCCTGTTGATTTTCATTACTAAATATGACTACAAATCTCAGTCTCTAAACAAGCTGTCTGACTCTTTAAACCCTGTGTAGTGTGCTATTGGACACTGGATAGGAGCTCATCTCTACTTTAGTTTTCCTATTTAGAGAAGAAAACGTTGGAGAAGTCCCCAGGCTATGATTATGGAGTCAGATGGCTTTGAGACAGGGTTATGCAGATACTAACTAGATCAGGAAGAAGAACTTGGAGGAAGAAGAGGAAAGTTAGCCCTAAAGAGCAAGTGCTGTTTTAAATCCAAACAAATCAGCCTTTTAGGAAGCCTTATTCTTCAAGGAACTTGAGGGTTGGTCCAAAACCCCTAAAGTAAACTCACTGACTGTATGAGACTCTTTGGGTGCCAAGATTAGTTTTCAATTGGATGGTCTTTGTCTAAAGTATATTTTGGTTTACTAATTTGTTTTTTCCTCACAAGTTAACAAAAAGCAACATTTTGTTTTAAAAAAAAGGTCTGTCTCATACTCCATACAAATGATTAAGTCTGAGGCCTGACCAATCAGTGACCACTGCCTATGACAAATTAGCATAAAAAGCCACAATTCTTCTTTTTTTTTTTTTATTGTGATTTGGGTGAAAGTTTATAGAGCAAGTTCACTTTCCATGTAGCAGCTCACATACACTTTGTCTCATGACATTGACTACAATTTACCCCAGTGCAACAGCTCCGCTCCCACTTCCTCCCCATAGTTACCTCTTCCCTGTGTCCATCCCTCCATGCATTCCTGCCCCCTGAGCTGTCTCCCTGTGCATACACAGCCCTTCTATTTTCCCATGATCGTTCTCTCCAAAGAGCATTATCTACCTAATGTAAATGTTTGGCTCATATGCCTGTCGTTTGTTTGGCTGGAAGCCACAGGAGTGGGTTCAATTCAAGATCTGAAGAGCAGCTAGACGTCGTAGTCTCAGTGGTTCCATTAGGCCCTATCAGACCAGCAAACCTGGTCCCTTTTTTTCCCCCCCAAATGACTTTGAGTTTTGGTCCACATTGTTCTCCCAGTCTATCCAGGATCTCCTACAGAGATCCCCCTGTGGTTGACAGGAAGCATCACAATTCTTGCTAATCAGCCAGTAGCCTGTAACAGTGGATACATGGTGTATGTTATAAAACTGTGCCCTCAAAGAGCTTAGTTAGGGGATCGCACATGGACATGAAAATGACTTAAGTATAGTAAAAATAAAAACAAAATAAGACAATAAATTTCTCAATTATCAACATGACTGGAAGTTCAGGGGTTTTCCCTGAAACTTTTTTTCTTCTTTCCTTCCCCACTACTGTGGTCATCTTTTAAAGAGCCGTGGTCAGTGCAGTGGTTAAGCTTCTCAGCTGCTAACTGAAAGGTCAGCAGTTCCAACCCACTAGCAGCTCCTTAGAGGAAAGATGTAGTCTTGTGCTCCCACAAAGATTACAGCCTTGAAAACCCTGTGGGGCAGTTCGCTCTGAGTTGGAATCAACAGTAACAGATTTGGGATTTTTGGTGCTCAGATCTCCTTTTACCAGTTAGTTGAATTTGAGAGGATGAGAGCGAGAAGTGGCCTGAAAGTTGTAATGGGCGTCTGAAAAGATAGAATTGGGGTAGTGAATAGGCCTAACAAATGCTGGCGTTACTCAGAAAAGGTTGCTTTACTTCACAGCCTCATCTTTTTGTGTTTCTTTTCCCTTCACCTTGCCCCACTGATTTCTCCAGCCCCTCCATGTAGTGTGTCCTGAGCAGTATACCCAGCCACCACCAACCCAGTCCCACCGGATGGACCTGATGATTGACTGCCAGCCCCCTGCTATGTCCTATCGCAGGGCCGAAGTCCTTGCCCTGCCCTTCAAACGTCGGTATGAGAAAATCGAAATTATGCCTGAGGTGAGCCATTTTTTTTTTTCCCTCATAACTAAACTCAGGTTTTCTACCTGAGTCTTTTGAAGATCATCCCAGAGAGGGCTGTCCTTTGGGTTTGTGTCAAGTATGAATGAACTAAAGAACATGGACTCTTAAGCAAGTAACTGGGAAGAAATAATTTTCTGAACCTTCTCTTTTTTTCAGCTAATGAAGTAACAGCTCTTAAAGTCAGGACTGCTGCTTACATTAATGTTTAAGCAGTATGATTCAGTAGGGCAAGGCCCAGGGCAGAACCTTGGAGAATAGAAATGCTTATGCCAGTGCTGTCTTTAACTTCCTTAGGGGATAGGACTTGTCGTCCTTCCTAGACCTCATTTATGAGTAAGTGTAGAGTTTCACTGAACTTCAAAGATGGAGGAGATAAGAAGAGCCAAAATAAAAGGGATGTAAACTTATTAGTTATATCCATCTTCGCATAACTTATAGTTTTTGTTCTATGCAAGTAAATACTTTGTACTTACATAAAAACCTTAGCCTCTGTTTTAATAGGGAAAAAAGTAGGAAGCATGTTGTATCCATGGAATATTTGACTATTATTATCTCATATTTCTACTATGAGAAGGAAGACAGGAGAGTCATATGGTCCCTCTCCTGCAATATAGTATATACAACTCTGGAGGAAGCTACTTCTGACTTTCTTTTGCCTTTTGAGATAGCTTGAACATGTTTTTTAAAAAATATTGAAAAGACGGAAGAAAATGTATTACTAAAACCATTGTCCCTGAATTTTTTTTTTAAGGTTGAAGTTCAGAAATAGTAGAATTAGTGTCCAAATCTTGGATTTATACTTTAAATTTCTGAATGTTGGACCAAGTACCCTAACATGCTGGTGACCCAGTTTTCAATATATCTAGACCTTTCCAAAATTAACCTTACTGAGATTTTTGAGTTTTTTTTTTTAAATTAAGAGCAGTAGATAGAGAAGATTAGAGCCAGTTTCAATAATGAATTTAAATAAAATTGATTAGACAACATAAAGCTAACAAGATTTTTTTAATGCAAGCAATCTTGTTTTTCATTAAAGCACATGTAAGTAGATAATCGTTCACATTTTATGGCCATTCCTGTTTCACTTACCCTTGGGAGAGGCATTGCAGTGTGTGTGCTGTTGGCACCAGTGTGTAGCAGAAGTGAGTGGAAGCACACTCCTGTTTGTGGGCCCTGGCTGGAAGGATGCCAACGTGGAGTGAGCAGAGAAGGAGGAGACTCACCTGGCTTCAGAGGACTCCCTGTGTTAAAACAATCCTCTCTTGACTGTGAGAATACAGTCACTGGTGGCAAGTCTTCATCCTTTGAAGTGGGATTTGACTATTCAAAACAATTTTGTGAAAATACTTTAAGTCTGGTGATCAAGATGGGGTAGTCAATTTAGGCAATAAGAGTTTTTAGCCAAAACCAACGTGTAACTTCAAAACAATGATATTAATTTTCTTATAAATGTTGTAAAGAACATTTCCTTTAAAAAAGGGGATGTCAAAAACATTTTAAGCAATGGGCACATCCAGCGCCACTGAAATCCAAGCAGAGAGTCCACTGGTGCTCGG